ACATAACAACGCTATATCGTGTAGAACGTATTAGTTACGTATTTGAGAGATCGTTGTATGCCACCAATTCGCTAAGCTAGAAATTATTTATTTCATAAGTTTGTGAGAACGTCATGCGTACATACATCATCATATACTTGTGCATTTCATTCATGTCATGCATTCCTCCCTTATAAATTGATTATCTCATTTTGATAAAAGTTGTATCACCTAAAATATATTTTCCGGTGTAATAAAAGAACTTTTTACTACTGAGATGGCCCGCACACGAAGACGCATCAGTCAAAGTCCACCGGAGGAAGAGCACCTCGACGTCCGTTGGCCCTGAGGGAGCACCGCACCACGGACACCTTCTTGAGCGAGTTTGGCATGCCAACTTTGCTTTGGAGAGTGCTCCATGATGTGGGGTACCTAGAGGGTCAAGAGCCGGTGTGCTCCATGATCTAGGTTGGTAAAGTTCAAGAAATGTGCCGAGTTAGCAAAGGTTCAGACCAAAGCATTTCTCAACCTAGACGTCTGCACTAGGTGGAACTCAACTTACCTAATGCTACAAACTACACAAGAGTATGAAAAGGCTTTTGAAAGGTATAGTGACGAAGACCCATACTATAGTCTAGAGTTAGAGAGTGAGAAAGCACCAGGAGTTCCAATCAAATCAGATTGGGAAAAGGCAAGGAAAATGGCTCAATTTCTTAAATACTTCTATGAGCTAACCCTCCGTGTCTCTGCCACAAGTCGCCCAACATCTCACACATACTTTCATGAGATTGCTGATGTTTTGGTTCTGCTGAGACAATGGTGTCATAGTGAAGATACATTATGTAAGAAAATGGGCCAGAAAATGTTAGTGAAGTATTACAAATATTGGGGAGAGAAGTATGGAGAAAGGCCGGGGGATAGAGAGAAGAGAGGAGAGAAAGACAAGGGGGATCAATTGCTTAACATTGTTATTTTTTTTTGTGTTGGTATTGATCCTCGATTCAAACTTTCTAACCATGTCAAGATGGCAACTGTGGTAATGTTTGGTGATGAAATAGGTTAGAAACTGTGGGCAACAGTCAACACTTATTTTCGTGCTTTGTTTGAGGAGTACAGAGAACTGTATGCTCCATCTCCAAGTGACAAGGTGCCTGCTGAAACTCAAGAAACACCAGAATTTTGTTCTGGATTGATGAGCTCCATAATTATACAACAGATGAGCAATAAGGGGAATGCCAATACCACTGTGAAGTTTGAACTAGACAAGTACCTTTCAGAAGATAATGAGGAGCTTAGTAAAAGTTTTGACATTATGAAATGGTGGAAGAACAATGCTACTAGATTTCCCATAATGTCTTGTATGGCCCATGATCTTCTGGCAATTCCTATCTCAACAGTAGCCTCTGAGTCAGGCTTCAGTTCAGGTGGCAGAACACTTGATGATTTTAGGACATCACTCACACCAATAATGGTTGAGCGGCTCGTTTGTACAAATGATTGGCTTCGTGGAAACAACTACATCAGTGTTGAAGAGGACACAGAAGCATTGGCCAAGCTTGAGGAAGGTAATTTTTAATGCTAAGTCTAAGTTGTTATCATTTCTATTGTTTATCTTGATAGCTTATTGCAGTAACATGACTACACCAAGTACTAACTAAAACATAATCACTTATTGTAGAAATTGGTGCCCTGGCCATTTCTAATGATAGCACTACTGCTACTGTGTCTTGATAATGGTAAGTTGGTTAGCTGGACGCCTAGACACATCCTGGTGGCGCCATGGAGCATTGTTCTCTTGCTGTTGTTGATGCCTACTGGCTGGAACCTATTTTTTTCTTGTTGTTTATCAAAACTGATGGAGTATTGTGGTTTATTATCAAGAATGAACAGCAAATTTGTAATATTTGATTTGAGCATTGAATTGTTAAGTTTGTAACAGTCTTGAGTCTTCAAATAATATACTGTGCTGTGCAAGTTTGTACTGTGCTGTGCTGTCAGTTCTAAATCATGTCTGATGTTTTCTTACATCGGTTTATTTGGTTTTAACCGAAAAACCGAACTAAAAAACCGAACCTAAATTGATCGGTTTTTGGAATTTTAGCAAACCGATCAGGAGTCATTTTCTGGAAACCGAAATTTTGGAAAAACAAAGAAACCGAACCGTCGGTTAAAACCGAACGCCCAGGCTGACACTGGGCTCTGCCCACGGCGTTCGGGGCTTTTAACCAGCAGGGTGATCGGTGGAGCCGCCAGTGCTACTGTGGGGCCGGGCCTGGGCCGGCCCACGGAAAGCCGTCGCCTGTTAAGTGTTAACCGGCTGTGGTGGTTGATATGGCTAAGGCCGATTGCCGGTCCCCTCTTCTCTTTTTTATCATCATCTTCTCACCTTTGCAGTCAACAGTTACAAAACAGTCACCACTTCTGAATTTATAATTATAACTAGAACACACTTGATAAGCTTAGCTGGTTCTGCTCACTTGTGAACACGATTATCTATATTTTGTATAGATTCTGCCCACTTAATAAGTATAGATTCTGATTCTGTTCACAAGGCGAGGAAAGGACCACCTCCTCTCGAGCTCATTGGATGCCTCAATTAGAATTAGAATCTATGCTTACAATTAGAGAAATAATTGAAGTTATACTCAACTTCACTTTTTCTCAGCCAAAAGAAAGTAAATATCATTGTCAACTTCAGCGAAGCGCTCCCGATGCCTTAGCGCAGAAGCTAACACATGATGAACAATATGCAACGTCTCCAGCATACCATTACGATTTCTAGGGACAACATTGACCAATTTTGAAGCTTATCTGAAAACTGTGGTACCTCTAAGTGAAAATTATTTAGTTGTCTGACAGTTAAAAACAGAATTTGGACTTTAGACAGGGCGGAAGTGCGTGGTTGGCCAAACTCTAGAATATGTCTGCTCTGTCAACAAGCTACTGAAACGGATGCTACATCTTTTTAAAGATTGTAGGTTCACAAGGCGTCTTTGGGCTGAGGTCATGACTAGGACCTCAAACAACAAGTTGCACCTAACCACATGGTCTCCTAGCAAATCGGTCGAGAGCTGGTGGACTGCTATGTCGAGCATTCAAAGAGTGCAGCTAGAGGGGGCTTGTATCCTTGTTAATCCTAGTTACTTGCTTGGGAAGTATGGAAGGAGAGAAATAACCGGATATTTGAGCAAACCAAAAATGACAAGCTATAGAGTTTTGCAAAGCATTAAAGATGAGGTTCTCGGGATCGTAGCGGGAACAAAACAACATTCATGTCTCCTTTAGCATGGTTGATTGAGTTTTTGACCTCAGTTTTGAGGCCTTGAGTTTTGTTATTATTTTTTTTGTCAGACTTCGGTTGTGCCTGTATAGTACTCGTCTAGGTTCACTTTCTCCTTTTTAATTACCGGGAAGCTCTTCTGTCGGTTCGTTTAAAAGAAGATATACTTAACTTCACTAGAAGTTATTAAAACTCAAGGAGACGAAGAGCATCCCTTCTCATACTTCTTGATTCCCTTTGTTGACCAACCAAGGGATTGTAAAAGAACTAACGTTAGTATCCCATGGTAGAGTGAGTCTACTTAGTGAATTGGTAGGATACAAAGATCAATCAGAATTTATATTAAGAGTTGATGATTGACGACCGGTGTTTCCTTGTCTCCGATGGGGAGGTGAAGGGGATTTCTTTCATCCTATTTGCTCATCGTACATGTCTAAGAGATTGCTTAGTCATAAGGTATATTCATGTCACAAAACATTTTTTTGATAGAATCTAGATCTAAAACATTTCTACAAAAATCTGAACAAACCTTGAGAAAAGAACAAAAAGTGAATAGACATTTGATCAGAATGGAATTGTTCACATGCATTGACCAACCGATTCAAGATTAGAGAACGCTTCATGCATGCACGAAACCTTAGCTATCATTTGGTTTCAAACTGCGTGATGGTAGAGACCTTTTTATTTATTCCTCGGTAGCTAGGAGAGTCGTTGATCAAGGATGATGGTCGCTTGCCACCATCTCTGGTCTTTTGTGTAACACGTTCAAAAAAACTTCTTCCCTCTTAATAAAAAATTGCTTAAACCCCGCTCGCGAAAAAAAAGTTGCAACCATTTACAATATTGGGTTGAAAGTTCTCGTTGAAAAAAAAAGAGTTGAAAGTGGTTGGTGTGAAGTTGGTTGCTCTACTCTCTCATCCAAACTTGCTTTTTTTTACATTCTCTGTCGTTTAATAAATTCATTTTTAGAGTTGTTTTAAATCAATTTTTTTTAAGTTTAACAAAAAAATATAGAAAGGAGCAACAAAATTTATGGCACAAAATTAATATTATTAGGTACCCCGTAAACTATCATAATATGTTTATTTGGTGTCACAAATATTTATACTTTTTTCTATAAATTTGATCAAGCATAAAAAAAGTTTGACTTAACGTAACTCTAGAAATTGGTTTATTAAGATATGAAGGAAGTAATTTGTAACTGAAAAAAAGTCGCTTATCACTTGATGGAAATGACGTACGATGGAACTGGTTATACGAATTACTGTACCATCTTTTTGGTGAACTACTGTTACAAATGCAAATATTTGGAGAATTTGAATAAGTAATTATAAGTGGCCACTCAAGACAAATATCTAAATTCCATCGCTCTACACGTTCCCCTCTAGTTAATTACTGGATACCACAGAGTAGCACTCGTTCTGAATCTTCACAAGATACACATCCTCACTATCTACTTGAAAAATTAAGCTGGAAATACCCTTTCTCCTACATATCTCTATCTATATACCATTACGGAAATCATGAATTGCACCCAAAAGAATTAACCAAAAATTGCAAACAGTCAATTGCAAGAGAGCACAGCAAAGGGAAAAAAAACTGAATTACAAGAGAAAGAGAAAATGGGGGAGGAGAAGGAAAAAATAATAAAAATATAAATGACCTTGGGTGAGCATCGCTTTGTGTAGCTCCTGTGTGTGCTAGCCTCATCCGTGGCCGCCGGCAACGGCCAGCCCTGTACTCATGATCCGATCTTGTCGAGGCTGTCGGCGACGGCCTTCATCCGTGGCCGGAGCTCCGGGTCGGCCTCCGTGCACGCGAGCGCGACGTGGAACGCCGCCACCACCTCCTTCTTGGGCAGCGCGGGGCCCCGCAGGAGCGCCGGGTCCACCATCTCCGCCACTGGCCGCGCGTCCTCCTCGAAGCCGCGGCGCACCCACCGCACCACCTCCGGCACCGCGCCGCCGCCGCCGCCGTGCTCCCCACTCCCGGACCTGTCCGTCGCCGTCGACCCGGACACAGGCGCCGAGAACGACGCCGACGTCGACGGCGACGCGTGGTCGGCGGCCGGGCCTCGCCCCGTCAGCAGCTCCAGCAGCACCACCCCGAACGAGAACACGTCCCACTTCTGCGTCGGCTTCGCACCGGACGCCGCCCGCGCTTCCGGCGCGCGGTACCCGCTGCCGGCAAAACGGTCCGGACCCGTGCCCGGCGCCGCCGGTGGCTTGACGTACGGGATGGCGCCGCCGAGGAGCCCGCCGGCGCCACCCGAGGAGGGCTGCCCGTCGGGGGCGCAGCCGGCGACGGCGAGCAGGCGCGCGAGGCCGAAGTCGGCGACGCGCGGGGTGAAGTCGGCGTCGAGGAGGATGTTGGATGGCTTCACCTCGCCGTGGACGAACCGCCGCGGGCTGCACTCGTGGAGATACGCCAGCCCGCGCGCCGCGCCCCTTGCGATCTTCAGCCGCGCTGACCACGACAAGGCGGTTTGACCAGGCCGACCTGGCGAAAAAGGACAGTCAACGGTCAACGCATTCAGTCAGGACTGAGGTGTCCGGACTCAGGAGTCAGCTTTGCATCAGAACTTCAGTTTCTGAATGACCTGTGATATTTTATTTTCCTATATAAAAACATTTCTGTATGATGAAAAAGCATGCAAATTTCACATCGCAAGTTTCCAGTTTTGCAAATGTTTTTTTACACGCCATTTACAGTTGGTAAATCGAAGCAAAATCAAAACAACAGCCATGAGAAACTACAGTGTGGCAATTCCATCCAACCGGCCAACAGAACGTAATCAAAGAAGGTGCAGCGGCTGTCGCCTGTCGGTAAACCTAAACAGCCCTGCCGTGCCATGGCTGTCGACTCACTGTTCATGAGCACCGCATGCATCTCGCTTTCAGAAAGTTTACAAGGACAGTGAACAACTAGACTTTCGGAAAGGAAGACATCAGTCAGTGACCAACAATGTGCCCAAGTGAACCATTATTATGTACAGCATTAGTACCTCACAAACCGTTGCCACGCCACAAACACACTAGCTAGGTACGGTATCTGTCTCTCTCAGGCTAAAGGCTCATTAGCATGCATGCAAAGGTGCTGTCCTTTGTCCCATTAGCCCCAAAGAGCCCCCAAATCTGGCATCACCAGCCTGAGCACCCCAGAGCTGACACCCATCATTAAGCACGTTGGGAAAAAAAGGTTGCTAATGATGCGTTTACCCAGGCGTGCCTAGGCAGTGCTGCCCATGCTCAATCATCCCATTCTTTACGCATCTCCCTTTGTACGTAGATTAATTAGCACGAGATCGGAGAGAGAGAATATTCATTCTGCTAAGGCATAGAGTGACAAAAGGTTTCGTCAGGCTTAGAAAGGCCTCTGCTTTTTTCAGTTTGGCACCTCTGTTTGTTCGACCGACATGCTCTGCAGTCTGCGTGACGGTGGAAAGTGTGGACGAAAAGGGACCTTCCGTTGCAGCCCTTTGGTCTGTCACTCAGCGTTGGTGCCCAATTGAGTGAGCAAAAAAGGAAAAGAAAAGAGCCTTTGGAGCTTGTCAGCTGGGTATGATTTGGTGTAAAGCTTTTGTCGAACATCAGCGTTAACGAAGCGCGCCACTTTTTCTCCTTTTCCCTCGTTTATTGCATATGCAAACCTTGGGCAAGTAAATATGGTGCATTGCAGTAACAGCAGCTACGGTGCCTTATGGCTTAAGCAACCATCGCCAGGTTTCTAAGAGTTTCTGAATGCACCGGTGATCTTGCTTGCTCACATAGGACTAGGCTGCTAATTAATACGTATATGCAAATGCAAATTCTGTGGCTTGGCATGCTACTGCTAATATGCCTAAGACCCCGGAGGACCGTACCTGAGCGGCTGAGCGGCTCCAACAAAGAAGGGGCAGGAAAATAAAATGCTCACCGGGTTCAGCATTGCCGTTTGCCAGTTTGCCACGCTACCACGGCATGCAGTTAGTTGCCTGTTATGCGCCCTGTTCGTTTGGACTTGTTTATAAACCGTACTTTTTCAGTCAACGAACAGTGTTTTTCTTTTACACCAAATCAGCCAACAATACTTTCAGCCATGACTTATCAGCCAAATAAGCCCAAACAAACAGGACGATGATAGGTTCTGGGCAAGTCAAAGGCGATGATGGCCACAAGAGCACCGCCGAGGATCACATTCACAAATCACAACTCACGGAAGGGGAGATGGTCACCAAGGACCATGCATGCATGCAGGCGCCCGTCGCCCATCCATGACAGCAGGACCAGCCAGCCGCAAAAAGATGTCCACCAGCATGCACCCATCGCATGCAGATTGTATAGCAGAGCCGCAAAAAGACGGGTGTGCCTTCTTCAGCCAAGGTTTTGGAAGCTTTCGTCGCAGTGCGTTCCCGTGGGAGTGGACGAGTGGTCTCGTCACGCTCTTTAGGACTAATGTCGTCTTTTTCTTCCTAAGGATGGTAATTCACCCTCGGTCTGGTTAATATAAGGTAGATGCAAGGCTAGAACCAGCCATTTTCTCTTAATGATGGAACACGTGACAAAGGTTAATCTTGAAGAAAAATGTTCGACCAGCCACTCACACTATCAAGGGGTCTCTCTCTCTCTCTCTCTCTCTCTCTCTCTCTCTCTCTCTCTCTATATATATATATATATATATATATATATATATATATATATATATATATATATATATATATATATAAAAGTAATAAAATTCTGAAATAAGTTATTCCGTAGCCACCTCCATTTACGATAATTTTATATACTAATTTACGATAATGTCAATACATATTTACGATAGTTGGGTTACTATAACACATGGAGATATTTACCATAACGTTATAGTAAACCACTTAGTATGGAGTTACTATAATCTCGTAAATTAACATAATAATTATCGTAACTCAAAAGTAGTTACAAAATAAGTTATTTTGTAGCCAGCTACAGAGTAGTAGTTATATATATATATATATATATATATATATATATATATATATATATATATATATATATATATATATATATATATATATATATATATATTCTCATAGACTAGATGAGTTGTCTTCTGTAAATTGTATAAACCAAGCTGGCCTAAATTCAGTTGTGCAGTGGAGTATAGTGGACAACATTGTGAGTAAAATAAGATGGGCTATTGCTCTGTTCGCTTGGCTTATAAGTCGTACTTTTTCAGCTAACAAATAATATTTTTCTTTTACAATAAATCAGCCAACAATACTTTCAGCCATGACTTATCAGCCAAGCGAACAGAGCACCCCGTCGTTTAGAAAGAAGAAACATGAGTAGTAAGTGAGCACCCAACAACCATACGGACCATATATAATAACAGACCAAATCTTAGCTAGTGGCCAAACACACCACGTACAGTATAGCCTACCCTGTACATTATCCGCTAGTGCTACGAAGGGTCATAAATTGTACACTGTCCTGTGCCATGGCTTGTACGCTGAGCATTCTCTGCATAGCGTCGTCCTTGGGCATGACCGGCCCTCTATTAATTAACCATCCTAATACGATGGGAAAGCTTATACATATCGCTAATAATAAAGACGAGGGTGAGGAATTAATTTGAGGTACGGTCATTCTAATGTGGTACATATTGTCAATCTCAACCGCGTTTATATGTTATGAAAAAAAAAATCAAACTAGAATCACCTAAATTAAATGGCGCGTATAACTACATATATTGCAATTGCATTTGGGCTTGATCGATCTCAACATTTTTGCATGTCGCTCTCGCTCATCCTACATTTCCAGGACGGCTGGTTAATCAGTATCCGGTACTAGTACTAAGGTTGTTTCTTGTTTAATTTGTATGGACGTGGCATGTGCTCTTGTGACTCGTGAGCAGAATTTGCCAACTCGAATATAATCACTGCATTAATCAAATATAATCCACGGCATCTACCACGTTTCTCCGACAAGAAATCAGCCAGTAGGATTCAACGCTAATGAGCAATTAACAAACGCAAATCGCATCTAAACCTACCAAAAAAAAAACTACTAGTATTTCGAGCAGCAGCAGCATGCAGGGAATGAATGATGGATGAATCCTCGGTGGGTGGGTAGCTTACCACGCAGCGCGGTGGCGAGGTTGCCGTTGCCCACGAAGTCGGTGACGACGAGCTTCTCGTCGGCGGACCAGTAGTAGGCGCGCAGGCGCACGACGTTGGGGTGGCGCGCCCGCCCCACGGCGCGCGCCTCCGCAGCGAACTCCTTGCACCGGTCCGCGCCCCCGCCGCCGCCGCCCAGCCGCCGCACGGCCACGGGCGTCGTCCCGTTCGCCACCACCACCTTGTACACGATCCCCTTGCCGCCCTTGCCCAGCACGTAGGCCGAGGACCGCAGCAGCTCGTCCAGCTCCACGCGGAACCCGCGGTCGATCGCCACCAGCTCCCCCTCGCCGCCGACGCCGCTGCTGTACTTTCCTGCTTCGCCGTCGTCGTCGCCCGAGGACGCGTCGGAGCTGTCGTCGCTGCCGCCGTGCCGCCACAGCATGCAGCGGCAGAGCCCGCTCTTGCTGCTGTAGTCGCCGTCGTCGTCGCGGCGGTGCCCGCGGTGGTTGTCTTTCCGGTCCTTGACCTTCCAGTACACGTACACGAGGATGATGCCGACGAGGGCCACCCCGGCGGCGTCCGCGACGGAGATGAGCGCTATCAGGCCCGAACTGATGGGCTGCTGGTGCCGGTCGGAGGACGCGGTGGAGGAGGGCAGCGGGGTCGTCGTGGCCGCCGGCGGCGTCGGCGACTGCGTGGGCGGCGGGACGGCGCGGCAGGGCACCTGGAGCGGGTAGCCGCAGAGGCCGGGGTTGTTGAGGAACGCCGTGGGGCCCTGGCTGGCGAGGGAGCCCGTCTGCGGGATGGCCCCAGAGAGGTTATTGAAGCGGAGGTCCAGCGTGACGGTGGCCGGGAGGCGGCCCAGTTCGGGCGGCACGACGCCCGAGAAGCGGTTGTGGGAGAGGTTGAGCGTGCCGGCGAGCCGGGGCAGCTCGCCGAGGTCGGGCGGGAGCGAGCCGTTGAAGGCGTTGGAGGAGAGGTCGAGCTGCTGCAGGCTGGGCATCTCGGGCCACACCCCCGCCGGGAGCTCCCCCGTGAAGGCGTTCCGGGCGAGCACGAGCCGCTGCAGGCTGCGGCAGCCGCGGAGGTCCAGCGGCAGCTCGCCCGAGAGCGCGTTCCCGGAGACGTCCAGGTTCTGGAGGCGCGGCAGGTCGCAGAGCGCGGCGGCGGGGAGGCCGCCCGTGAGGCGGTTCCCGTAGAGGTAGAGCGAGTGGAGCGACGAGGCGTTGGAGAGCGCGGCGGGGATGCCGCCCGACAGCCGGTTGCCGTGGAGGTTGAGGCGGCGGAGGAAGAGCAGCGACCCCAGCTCGGACGGGATGTACCCGGAGATGTTCTTGCCCGCCACGGCCAGGCTGACGACGACGCGCGGCGCCGAGGAGGACGACGAGGAGGCGTTGGCGCACCTGACGCCCGGCCACCCGCACGGGTCCGGGTCCGACTCGGACCACCGCGACAGCGCCGAGTACGGGTCCTCGGTCGCCGCCGCCTTGAACGCCAGCAGCGCCAGGCCCTCGGCGATCAGCGCCAGGGCTGCCGGCGGCGGCAATGACAGGAGCAGCAGGAGGAGGAGAATTTTGGTCATTAGCTAGGCTAGCGACCGGCTGACTGACACACTACTTGCCGGCTGCTGCTTCTTCGGTGGTTCGGTGTGTTTGTGAAGCTGCCGATGCCTACCTAGCTAGTGTACGTGTGTTGTGGGTGAGCCAGTGGTGTGTGGAAGCGGAAGAGGGGCACGGGCAGAGGCCGCCAATGCAACGCTGGCTAATTGGCAGGATGCGTGCGAGAGGGAGGGTCAAGAAGGGGCTGGGAAGGTTATAGATCTGCCGGAGGGCAGGCACCAGACAAGGCTATATGTTGGCATCTTGTCATGTGGGAAAACTGCCAGTACAGAGTTGGATTCTAGAATCCAGAAGATGGAGGAAGGCCAGGTGGGTAATGAAAGTGCTTTTAATTCTCGGCAGAATGGGAAAACGTATTCAATTCTGCAATGGTTATCAGTTGCTCTCACTGGCGCTGGCACTGGCACTGGCACTCCATTTTTATCTAGCACACCTTCTGTTCCATTTGCTTTGACTCAAATTTCCTGTCGGTGAAAAACCGACAGAAAAATACACAACCGATAGGGAAAATAAAAAAATAATTTTTCTGTCGACATACCATTACCGACAAAAATAAAGCGACAGAAAAATAAAATTTGCCTGCCGGTGGCACAACCCGCCCGCTTCTGGGCCGGCTGAAAGGCCAACGCGGGCCAAGCCCGGTTTTGCGTGTTTCGTTTCCCGGTGCTGTTCCAATTGATTTTTTCTGTCGGTGGCACCAAAACACAGAGAAAAATATACATTTTTCTGTCGGTTGACCAAAAACACGACAGAGAAATGTACTCACCCTGTCGGTTTTTGAATTACTCTATCGGCTCTAGGTTCCCGACAGAAATATTAGTAATTTCCCTGTCGGTGGGTGTTAAACGGACAGGAACATTTTAGTCTCCAGTAGTGACTTTGTACTATATTTGACCAAGTTTGTATAAAAATCCACCAACAATTAGAACATCAAAAACTATTTCATTAGATTCTTCGTGCAATATATTTTGATCGAGAAATTATTTGAACTTATAGATATATGAATATATTTTTCTATAGAAGCTTGCCTTAGGGGGGAACCAAAATAAAATGTTATTCATAATGGAGGGAATATTATTATTCTTTTTTATGATCTTGTAACGCCACAACTTTATCTTTTTGATGCATGGATGTTTTGCCTACTTTTAACTAGCCAGGCAAGCAGGCAAGGTGAGGCCAAGCAAGGCCAGTCCAAATAAAACTATGTTTGGTTGTTTTGCTTAGTGTGAAAGCTTACCTAGCACCGCATGCAAGGACTTCGATTTTTATAACACCGAGTCTACTACCGCACAGGAAAGGATGTGCTTCCCGCTTGCCTTGCCAGCATGAGAGAGTCGACCTAGCTCTCCTACCTGGGCAAGGATTTCCTTGCTTAAAGAGGCAAGCTGTAATGTCCCACCTCTCTGAGGCTAGGCCCGCTTACATCTGACAGCTTAACTAGGACATAGACTGCCTTCACAGATCAATACAGGTCTTTTCTACGCACTTTGTCCTCACTCGTGCGCACCCGGGAAGAACTTTCCGGTCGGTCACCCATCGCTCCAGGCTAAGCACGCTTAACCTCGGAGTTATTTGCAGATGGGCTTCCGGAAAACAAGTTGCAACTTATTGGTATGAGGATCATATTAATCCTGTTAAGCCTTGGCCGGGATGTTACATCCTCACCCCCTTAAGAGATCGACGTCCTCGTCGATCAATCCCAAGCCAAGAGCGTCCTCTCTTGGCCACGTCCAGGTGTGTCGAGCCAAAGACATGTGCCATCTTTGTGTGACCACCGGGATCCACACCACCATGCGCGCACCATGCTCACAAGAATCTGCGACACACGCGCCCGTGAAACCGCGAGAGTCGGCTCTGATACCATTCTGTAACGTCCCACCTCTCCGAGGCTAGGCCCGCTTACATCTGGCAGCTTAACTAGGACATAGACTGCCCTCACAGACCAATACATGTCTTTTCTGCGCACTTTGTCCTCACTCGTGCGCACCCGGGAAGAACTTCCCGGTCGGTCACCCATCGCTCCAGGCTAAGCACGCTTAACCTCGGAGTTATTTGCAGATGGGCTTCCAGAAAAGAAGTTGCAACTTATTGGTATGAGTATCATATTAATCCTGTTAAGTCCTGGGCCGGGATGTTACACAAGCTAGCCTAGCAAAGCATGATTTTTCATCCACTACCAAACACATATTCTGGCTTAGCAAAGTTAGGTAAGGTTCAATAAAGGATCCAACCCCAAGTGTCTCTGGCGAGGAGCAGGGTTTGGGAGTTGCCGTTTTGGGGTCTGGCGAGCCTCCCAGGCTTCCTCGAGCTCAGAGTAGATGACATTAGCGAGAAAGTGGGATGCATAGGTGGAGGCAAGGACGACAGATGCGATGTAGAGGAAGTCGATTGGCTAAGGTGTGCGCGTGGAGTGGTTGTGCAGAGTCTCATCAGAGCTTCATGCGAGCGGCTACTAGAGGCGGAACAGGTTGAGGATCCAACCTCCGCCCTAGACATTGATATGAATTATAGCTACTCTATCCATGATTTCATTTGCTGATTTCCAGATGTTGCTTGCATTTTGCAAATAGTTCAACTGGTCTCCAAGAACATCACATCATATTGGGCATCTTTATACTATATTGCCTCTGCTCGAGAAAAATATTAACATTAATATTATCGTCATATTGGCCATCTTCCTTTCTATAGGACTGATTACAAGTTCAAACGAATGCTCTATAAAAACATATTATCACGTAGAATTTAATAAAACTAAATTGATATTCTAGATGTTAGTGCCTTCATCTATAATAAATTTGATCAAAACTATTAGTTTTTGTTATTAGAACAAAGTCAAAGTGAACTATAATTTGGAACGAGATCGAGTAGGCAATATATATGCAGTTCTATGCAGGGCGTGTAATGTGACAGTGCAGATTTTATTCCTATATAATTACACGAGCAAGAAATTAGTGGCACATTTTTTTCATCAGTTGTATAAGCGGCCACTTTTGGTGTTGAATACGTAGTGCATGCTAGTGTAGTGGTGATTGATATTTTTCCTTTGCCACGAAGTTAGTGAGGAAGTGATTATGCATGCGTGGATCGGAGGTCGATAGAGAAAGATTGGGAATAGACATGGTGGGATGGGGCTGGCTCCTGGGGCCACCAAAGCATTTGCTGCTAATGGAGCTCATGGCGCGCGGTATGGACTGTACTGTACGTGGGAGATGTCTCGACCGGAGGAGGAGGAGGCCGGGAGTAGAAGGGAAGCAAAGGCCAAAGGAGAGAGCGACGTGCATGAGCTCAAATCATAAGTACTTGCCCGGTTCGTTTAGCTGATAAATCATGGCTGAAAGTACTGTTAGCTGATATGTTGTGAGAGAAAAATACTATTTATTAGTTGAAAAAGTAGAGCTTATAAGCCAAACGAAAAGGACGACTGCCAGTAGTAGTAGCAGCACCAACAGGTGATGCCGTGTGTCGCCTAGCTAGGGGCATGATGAAAGGACGTTGCGGAGAGCCAACGCCTGCAGATAACATCGCGCGCCGGCCTAATCATGCTTAGACCATGGCCGGCCTTTTCTTGGGTGCCTTGGTTGGTGACCTCGCCTCGCTTCGGCCGGGGACGACGACGCATCATGCTCATGCATGTATGCAGTGATTAGTTAGTTCGTCGCAACTCGCAATCAAGCAGGAGGCACACTCGTTGGTCGTTGCAGGCATGCACTGAACTGATTCGCAGATCATCGCAATTCGCAACGGTAGAGGGCTAGAGCAAATCAGCGATGGCAAGTCCGCCACGTAGGTAATTTAGCAAGCCTACCACACGTCCGGTTTGAAAACTGAAAAACACAAATTTCATATTTTCCTAGCAGGAACCCGTTCGATTTGTGTATAATGACAAAGATATATATATATATATAATAATAATAATAAAGCACATAAAGAAAACTAATCCCCATGTTCTGAGCAGAGCCACTACCGGACTCAGTGGGCACTCGGCAAAGCCCAATTTGCATTCGGCAAAGGCTTTGCCGCTGCACTCGGCAAAAAATGGGTCGACAAAGGCTCCTTTGTCGAGTGTCTTTTGTCGGACACTCGGCAAAGTTGGAACCGAAAAAAACCCCAAAAAAATGGAAATAAAAACCGAAAAATGGGATTTTTTTTAATCGGTGGAGGCTCCCACCGGCCAGCGCCTGCCCATCTCCGGCATTTTTCGCGTAAAATTCACGGCTACGAGGCCGGCGGGATTCGAACCGGCGATCTCTCCCTCGCGCGTCCCCTCCTCTAACCACTGCACCACACTGCCACCTATGTCTAGATTCCGTTTTGGTTCTCCACATATTCATACTAAACCGAGTGTAAATTACTTGTTTGAGGCCCTAAACGAATTTAAATAAAAAATTGTAAACTACAAAGTTTCATAACTTTTCGAGATCTACACTTTTAGTTTAGGAAGTTTTTCTATCCGAGGTCGTTTACAAAATTTGAATTTTAAAATTTTGAAATTCAAACGTAGTTTTGCATGACAAGATGATTTCAAATCAAAAAGTTGCCGACTACAATGTTTCATAACTTTTTGAGATCTAGAGAGTTTATTTTGGTTGTTTTTCCATCCGAGGTCGTTTGAAAAGTTCGAATTTTAAAATTTTGAAATTCAAACACATTTTGCATGACAAGATGATTTCAAATCAAAAAGTTGCCAATTACAAAGTTTCATAACTTTTCGAGATCTACAAAGTTTATTTGAGTTGTTTGATCATCTATTCATCCGACATGGTCGTTCTAACATTGTTCACAAATCTTATATATCTCTTGTAGTTTCATAAACTACAAGAGAGATATGTTAGATTTGTGAACAAATTTACTTTCATTTTGTCATACGAAGAAAAGACCAAAACAAACATTGTATATCTTAATGAGTTATACAACTTTGTAGTTGAAAACTTTTTCATTTGAATTAATTTACTGCTTCGAAATG